ATATCCATCATCGAAATTTAGGCCCATCCCTCATCCAACATCTTGCGCCATTCACTAGCCATATTGATAGTGACGTTGCTACCGCCGCAGACAATGATAACAACTCTACTCCACGAGTTGAGATCAGGAACAAGTTGCTTAAGCTTCGAATTCAGTTTCTCGACGACTTCTGGCTCAGGCTCCTGGTCTGTCTCATTGTCCGTCGAGGTCGACCGGTCATCCCCATAGCCCTCATCGCGGTAAGTAATATCAGTCTCATCCAAGCCCCTCTTCCACTTCGATGTAGGAACAGCAGTAGCAGCATCGCCGATGGCCGCTTCGATACAGACACCGCACGCAAGCTCGACGAGGAGTCGTTCATCGTTGGCGAGGCGGAGCACGCCGCGGGCGGCGTCTGCATCTGAGAGCACGGCGCTGTGCACCTTGATGCCTGGGGGCGGGGACACGGCGTACTGGAAAGTTGTTTCCGAGACGCGGACAGCGCCGAGAGAAGTGGCCTGGGATGTGATTTTTGGGAGGGAGATGAGGGATTTATTGGCGATGGCTGCTGCCAGTGAATCGGTACCGGCCGTTTCAATGGCGAGGAGATGAATGGGGTTTGGTGTGGGAGAGGAACATGAGGTAATTTGCTTCTTCTGTCGTCGCTTTTCGATGCCCATGACGAGGCCATTGAGAAGGCCGCCGCCGCCGACGCTGCAGAGGATGGCGTCTAGGGGGAGGGCCCGGTCATTGTAGGCTTTTTTGTCTTCGGGGGTGGTGGCGGGAGGAAGCTGGGTCTCGAGCTCGTCGATGATGGTGCCGTTTCCTTCCCAGATAGGCTGGTTGTCGAAGGGGTGGAGGGCGATTTTGATCACATCCTGGTCATCTCCGTTGCTTGTCTTCATGATAGTTTCCCGCATGTATTCTCCTGCCTCTGAAAATGTCTCGCCATGCCGGATGACGTCTGCTGCACCTGCCGCCCGGATCTTGTCAAGCATCAAGGGATTTGTGCCCATGGGAACCACGACAGTGCATGGGTAGCCCAGGCTCCGGGCTGCACAGACGGCTGCCAGTCCGGCGTTTCCTCCGGACGAGGCATAGAAATGGACTCTGCGGCCCACGTTCTCTGGGTTGCGAAGGTGAGAAAGGATTTGGTTGCCCATAGCACGGGACTTGAAGGAGCCACTTGGCTGCACGTTCTCTAACTTTAAGAAGATCCTACAACCAGCTGCTCGAGAAAGGCATGCAGACTCGACCAGTGGTGTCTCAATCCATGGCGTCTTGAACTGCAGCTGACAATAGGCGGAAATGTCGATGCTCCCCATTTTGATGTGTTGAACAAATGGAAGAGAAAAAAAAAGGTTACCGGAGCAGTTCCAAGACCAGAAGTATAGAGATGATGTTCCCCAAATAGTATATTGTTGAGTCGAGTGGTTACACGACGGTAGGGTGTAAATTCACGAAAATAGAGATAGGGAGATATCGGGAAGAAAAAGAAGAGCGATAAATACTGAAACTTCCAAACTCCAATATGCAGATATGAAGATATGAAGACATGTTTTGATATACAAGTGAGCCTCAAGGGCCAGTACAAAAGCTTTCCGACGGGAAACTAGAGTTTCCCGCCTGATAGGACTGATCGGAGTATCCGGTTCTGGCCCAGCCTTTCCCGTCGATAGCCATGTGGGTCGTTCATGACGACCATGACATACCGTCTGTTTAGAATGGCCGGGCGTGGGAAACCTGGCGTCTCAGCTTTCGAGCTGTGGAGGAGGGGAAAAAACCCCCATCTGGTCTGCCGCATCCGAGCGGAGAAGATGTATTTATTCAGACAGGCTTCTCGGCTGCCCATGATTGGCCGCCGATCGATTCCTCTTATCAAATCGAAAGCTCAAAAACAGGCGGATTACTCCTCAGTGAGCAAAGGAGGGAAAATAATACCTTTCTTAACGCCCTCGCCGTAATCTGAATCCGAACCGTACGCCGTGGCCGCGAATGCCCGCTTGGAGGGGTCCGAGGTGTTTACACGGAGCAATTCTAGAAGGTCATGAGACTTGCCGGGCATGAACGGTTGCAATAAAATGCCAGCGATCCGCAGCGATTCCGCCACGTTGTAGATGATCCGTTGAGGGTTGGGAGTTTTCCACGGCTCCGACGCATGGAAGTACTTGTTAGTCTACAAGCAGGTCAATACTCGCCGAATCCATGCGGGGATGATCACCTCTTACCTTCTCGATAATGCTCATAATTTCGTGCAGCGCGGCACGTGGGTTCAGATCCTCCATAAGCTCGGCAACCCGGGCAGGCGTCTGGGCCAACATTTCCTGATGTTCCAAGTCCTCAGGGGTAGCAGCTGGAAGTTTATCCGATCGGGCGTCCATAATGTACGAGCGCAAATTTCCACGCGCACATCCGATTGTACGCAGAGCAAGGTTTCCGAGTCCCCCCTGAAGCAATTTCTTGTAATCTCGGATGATAAAGGAATTGTCGAAGTCCGCATCATCGGCGAGGCCACCCCGGTACGCTAGGAAGAATCGCATGCCATCGACTCCAAACCGTTCAATGGCGAAAAACGGGTTCACAACATTGCCTGTGGACTTGGACATTTTTTCACGATTCATCGTCCAGTGTCCGTGCACCAGGACGTTCCGAGGCAGAGGAAGATCAAGTGCCATGAGGAAAGCAGGCCAATAAACACAATGGAACCTGCCAACCGATTAACTCTGCACACGGTCCTTCGGCGGAACTCATGAACTCACCGAACAATATCTTTGCCAACTACATGCAAGTCTGCAGGCCATACGGATGTGTTGTCTTTTCCAGGCGGGAAAGGATATCCAGCTTTGGTCAAGTAGTTGACCAGCGCATCTAGCCACACGTAGATTGTCTGCGTGTCATCGCCGGGAACACGGATGCCCCAAGTCAGACGTTCCACGGGCCGAGAAATCGAGAGATCCTGCAGTCCCGACTCAACTCCGTTGATCACAGCAGCTGTATAGGAGGTAGGGGTGATAAACGGATCTTCTCTTTTGTACAAGTCAAGTAGACGATCCTTGAAGGCTGAGAGACGGAAGTGGTAGTTGGTTTCTGAGGACCACTCTACCTCTTTACCCGTTTCTATTGAGACCTGTGTGGTGTTAGTATTCTTTCTCTTTGGAGAACTAATAAATTACATACCATGCGCTTCCTCCCTGTTGATGGATCCAGGGAGTTCTGCACTTGCGTCTGTGGGTAGAATGTCTCATCGCTGACCGAGTACCAACCTTCATGCTTTGAGGTGTAGATATAGCCCCGATGTTGCAGCATTTCCTACTGATGATCAGCGTGCCCTACTATGAACGGAGCATAGTAGCTTACCCAGAAATATTGGACGGCATCTCGATGCGCCGGGTCGGTGGTCCTGATGAAATGATCGTTGTCGATGTTTGCAGCCTTCGCTAGGGCCTATATCACAAATTGAGTTGGAGATACTCTTGAATATAGCAAAGGGGACTCGTACCTCAAAGGTCCGGCAGTTCATATCGCAAAATGCCTGGGTATCCATGCCCGCTTGAATGGCAGCTTGTTGGATCTGCGATGGATGTCAACGCCCATTATCGACCTGCAATCCCATCCGTATGTAATACCTTCATTCCATGCTCATCGGTTCCGGTCAATAGTTGAGCATCCGTGTTCCCGAGTAAGACCTGCCACCGTTTCATGATATCGGCGATCACCATTGTGTATAAATGGCCGACGTGAGGGGCTGTAAGGAAAACATATTGTTAGAAAATCAGTTTATACATGGTATTCACTATGGTGCTCACCGGCGTTCACGTAGAAAATTGGCGTTGTTACATAGTAAGGCTTGGACCTTTGCGGCGTAGTTGCAACTCCGCGCCGGGGGTTTGTTGCCCATCCATGCTTGCAAGATATACAGTTCCACGGATTTCTTGATCTCAGAAGCTGAGACGCTCTGAATAACGAGCGAAGTGACGTCCTTGCTGCAGCCATTGGGATAGTGATAACGGCAAGAAGAGCATGGCATGTTATTCCGCACATCTCGGGTGGTCCAAGCTTCTCCGCAAGTCTCGGCCTTTTTTTGCGCCTACATCGTCGCGCTTACATCGTCATCGAGAAAACCCACGACTTCGTCAATAAGTATATATCTATTTCTCTCGTTTAAAAGATTATTTGAAGCATATCTCTACATCTTCTTGTATCACGCGCAACTATTCCTGGGTTTTCTTTGACGTGAAATACCGATCGCGATGGCTACAGCAAGCGAGGATACACTGACCAAAGTGTCGACCGAGGGTAAGTCTCAAATTATAAGTTAGTTTCATGCCTTAGACTGACATTTGTTTGCTTTTGTGCTCAGCTGCGACCGAGTTCGTTAAGACCTTCTATCCGGCTTTGGGATCAAACCGTGAATCTCTCAGCTCCTACTACTCCCTCGAGCCTACAACCATCCTGTTCAATGGGAATCGTGTCGCAGATGGCGCTGCTGTGCAAGAAATCTTTACCAATCAAATGTCGCCAACGTACTACGAAGTCCAATCATACGACTGCCAGATCATCAACAAAGCATACCCCACCATTTTACCGGGTGGTGGACTGAAGCCACAGTCCGAGATGGGAGTCAAAGACATGTCATTTCTCATTGTAGTCAGTGGGTTTGTCCGCTATGGCGAGGGTCGCGATCAGCCACAACGCGGATTCAGTGAGACATTTGTGCTGGTCCCCAATCCATCCGCAGAGAGGGCGAGGGGCCGCAAGGATTGGCTCATCGAAAGCCAGAACTTCCGCCTTGTGGTTTGAACAATTATTCCAACGAATCATGAATCAGCTATAAGTCAAGAGACTATGCATGTGATACTACAGAAGTGAAAGACAACTGAGTCATGCCCACCCACCAAAGATGAATTGCTGAGAGATACACGATGCAACCAACGATCCACTGCTTGAAATTTGCTTCAAAACTAGAGCGCCAGACGCCAGAAGGGAAGGAAAATGATGATGTTACCCCTATTATTAGGGGATTATGGCTTAGCCGATGTCTTGCGCGGTATGCGGAGGTTTGCTTTGACTCTTTCAAGCAGCTCCTCACGCGTCGCAGCCTCACTCGGTAGAAGCCCTCTCTGAGATAATCGGTCAGTGTACGATTCACAAGAATGTATGATTATCTGAACACAGTCATGTCCGAACAAATCACTCAAACATACCGCTTTAAGCCATCTTCGCATCTCATCCATTGTCCAGTTTTCAGGGTCTAGCTTCCATTAGCCTATGTTAGATACCTAATAATAATTACTCTTACCACCGGTGGGATCTGCTTGTGCGGGAAGGACATCGCTGCCCAAGATAGTATAGGCTGCCACTGCAGTGACCATTCCTGCGAATCCTATATAGGAAGATAGTGGTCAGAAAATGTCTGGCAAGTGCCTTAACTTGAGATCATCTACCGAGGAATAGGTTCTATCGAGTCCAGTATTAGATATCTATCATAAAAGTATAGACAGACGTAGTACCTTAGAATGCAATGCTCGGTCCAAAGGGGTCGGCATCTTAAAAATGATGCAGTGATTATTTGAGTTTCTTGGGTTGATGCAGAAGTCTTGTTTCTTAAGAGTCAAAAGACAAGAAATAAAAGAGGAAAAGTATCACAGGGCACGTGCAAAAGACAAGTATTCAAGACGAATAGATGTGAACAGCTCGTCAAGACGTGGGTTGCACCGCCACACTAACGCCACCACTGCTGCCTTGGAACTATACAGTTGCACCTACTTCAACTACATATCTTCGATAACTCCCAAGTTCAGTTGGTGGCACTTTCCATGAAGTAATTAAATACGTAAATATAGACTTATGAGTATTGCTCAGGTAGAAAATGAAATATGAGCCTAACAACTATCATCTGCATCGCATATCTATACCCACCAGTCCAGCATTGTTACCCTCGTTCATTTTGAACCCCCTTGAACAGCCGTATTAATAGACGACATGGAAGCAGTCATTTTCCTGTCTTCGGCTACATTCGTTATTGCGGTGGGAGCTGCCATCAAACAAGGGTATGGTTGATCACCATTTCAGTATCGAGTCAGACATTAATTCCATTTACAGCATAGCCCTTTACAGACGATACCGAGTCCACCTACATGTCACATCAAAAGGCTTGACTCCTCCGCATAGTGTGGACCTGGAGAGATTCGATACTCAAGGAAGCACACCCGTTCAACCGCCGCCGAAACTGCATCACCATTCACGATTGGAGAGCAGAAATTCAAGGTGGCCAGGATATACTGATCGACGGAGTCAACCATCGCGAACAATGGTGGACCATTTTGCGTCATATCGCATTCCTGAGGAAGCAGAGACAGGGACTGTCCATCATTACCCGTATTCGCATTCGCTGCCCCCCAATCTTCCAGCCACATTTATGGCCCCAGTTGCACGAGCCACAACACCCCCAGCCACTTCAGTTACGCCGCCTGAGGCACCAACTGTAAATCATGTCTGACTAAGCAAGGGCTTTTGTAGCTTAAAGCCCTAACGTGATCCGCACACATTCACCTTAGAGGCTAGTGTCGACAGTGAGCTTTCTCTTTTGCACCTTGCTTCAAAACACCCGCAACCGTCATTATGCCTGCCGAAGTCTCCGATATCAAGCAGTTCATTGAGATCTGCCGCCGGAAGGATGCCTCCTGTACGTTACGCTGCATCGATAGACCTCCGAGATGAGACCTGGGGATGATCATCGGTGCTGACTGTTTACGCCTCTAGCCGCCCGCATCAAGAAGAACGGCAAGAACCAGCAAACCAAGTTCAAGGTCCGCTGCCACCGCAACCTTTACACCCTTGTCCTGAAGGACTCCGAAAAGGCCGACAAGCTCAAGCAGAGTCTGCCCCCTGGTACGTTTCGATCGCATTGTTCCTCCGTCTGAGTTGTTGGGATATCAGAGGATATACACTTGGAAGATGGCTCTTGAATGTAGCTCTGAACCTATGCTGACGATTTCCCTCTGAACAGCCCTCAAGGTCGTCGATGTCTCCAAGGGCACCAAGAAGACCAACTAAATTCGGTAACCATGGAATGAACGGAGAATCGGAGTGCGGCGTGATTGGTTGTTGATGCATGCAAGACCAACTGTTGGGGGGATACATGACACGGCCGTGGTCCCTCTGCGAGCCGACACGGGGAAAACTCCGTGGCGTGGAACATGAATCTTACGTCGCAAGAGTTTCTTTGCGCCTTTGAAACCGGCTGCTGTTGTTCACCGGCCAGGCGACTCGTATTTTCTGGACGCACTCGAGGAACACTTTTGTCGGAGGTTCTAGTCCCTACAACCCAATGAAAAAACAAACAGTTGAAATATCATTACTACATGGGTTTCTCGTTCTCAATCGAGATTTCCTAATCCATTATTCTCGTCATGGATATTCTCTCATCTTTGATCTTGTCTCCCAAGGCAACAAGTAGACCGTATGGAGTAGATCAGCTGTCCTTGAGATTTCCAGTTATTGACTCTACTTCAGACGTGATCTCGAGTCGAATATTCTCAGATTGGCATTGTGACCACAGTTCTTTCTTTCCTTTGATGGCTCGACTGAGAGCAATGACAATGCCTATTCTTAGGGTGTTGATACAGCCATTGGATCTAACCATCACGCCTGCTTGAATTCAGTACGGCCTGAGAACACTGCCAAAATACCTGCCACAATAGAGTTTTCTACCATAGATTCTACCAGGTTCCTATAGGATTCAAGCCCTTGACAATGAAGCAGTTGATAAAAGCAGTTAATGAGGCAGTTTACGATGAAGCAAGATATGATAGCAGCGGGTACCTACAATTTGTATGTAAACCCCTAACAAAAATAAGTCACTCCTGTCTAGCTAAGCAGAAGCAGGTAACTATCGAGGTGGGCATTTAGCCTAATTAGGAAGGCGGTACTGAAGTCGGTATCAATACCCTATTTTTTATCCGGCGTTGGGTTCTTTGATATCGGCCTTTCTGAGTCTTTGTTCGAGTCTAATTCATACCTTTGCTAGCACAATACCGTTGTTGAGAATCATTATCTCTCAGAACAGGTGTCTCGAAAGGCCTTTGTGGATTTTTTTTTTCTTCTAAAAGTCAAAGCAATGATGGATGCCCGAAGCATGTCTTCTCGGATCTATATAAATCATCTCGAGCTCGTCAAAAATGAAGCTATCAACAGCATTAGCGTCGCATTTTTCCGTGCCTATACATCTTATCTTCTCCAGAATCTTATTCGAGTTTTAACACGGCTGGCCTCATTCAGACAACCCAGCGAAGGTGGAATCGAAAATATGTGCCACAAAAAGCCACTGGTCCCTGCTATGGGAAACCTTAGCATGTTCCCAGCGGAGATTATCTTCAATATTCTAGATGAACTTTTGGCGAGCTCTCCCAGATTGAGACACGAAAACTTCCATGCCATTAACCAGCTGACGAAAATTAATAAGACACTAGAACAATACATCAAACTCGGATGGATGGGTAGCAATGCGTCGAACAGTTTCAAGCAAGGCGTGAATACTGTCCAGTGGTACTCAAACAGCGATAATGCAAATAAGGCTCTAACCCTCCAGGGCGTAGACCCTCAACGCATCATGCCCATCGAAGGTCCCCGTGGCCTTGGTCCCGATCTCATCACCGGTATCATTTTGGCCGACTGCACAGATTGCTTTGAGTGGTTCTCCGAGGTTCTGCCTGCTACCCATATGAGCTGTTGCAATGAGGGCGGCTGGTCATTTCTTTCTCTGGCACTGTACGCTAAAGCTGAGAAGCTACTTCATCGTTTCTTCCTCTCGGGTTTTCCTTTCGAACCGAGGGATTTTATTATCGGCAGTGCTAATGCTATGGGGAAAGGTCCGTCAATCCTTGGGCTTGCTGCCTCGTCTAGAGATCATCAGTCTTTCTCCAGGCTCTTCAGGAAACTGAAGGAAGTCTTGAACGGGCACGGCTTCCAGAGGACTCTTAGAGATAGACTCACGGGTAAGGAGCGAGCGGCTATTCGAAGTGTTGCTCCTCACTATCTACAGAAGATGTTGTATGAAGCTGGCCTGGCCACTATGCATCCGGCTCTTCGTTATAGTCCATACTACTCCGGTAAGCGCACCTTGATGTACTAGTCTTCTCGTTATATGGCGTTGTATCTCCTTCATTACGCTTAGGACAACGTTACTGACATTCGCATATCATTTCTCTATCTATCTCTCGGTGAATATTTGTTGATTTTACTGTCATTGATCTTGTCCTCTTTTGTTAAGTCAACTACTGCCTTGATACTGTCTTGGCATTATACCACTTTTACATTTTCATTTTCGGGTGTTAACATATCTAGCGTTTTATAATCAATCAGAACCTTAGCTCGAGTATTACCAGATACATCGAATAAGTAGATATCAACCCTTTTTTTGATCTTTAGCTAACCAGTATCTAGGTACTTCCGTAGATCATTACTCTTCAAGCCACGGCACTTCATTCCTATACATTTTGCCCTTCGCATTGTTTGGCATGTTGCAAAATTTCTTGGCATCAATTAGGTCATACGGAGTAGACTGAGAGTCTTAGGAATATATAGGTACTCCGTACGGAGTACTCCGTGGCAGATTCTATATTTCCGTCGGCCCGCATACCGAGGCTTTCCATTAAGACCAATAAAATAAAAAGGCTGAGTTCCGGCTCCGATCTATGATTTTCCCCAACAAGTTCCCATAACAACACTTCTTAGTTCACACCAACCCGTGCCCATTGACGTAATTGTGCTTGATACTATTCCATGATCAGAACGGACCCCCTCCAGGAACATACGCCCGGCTAAATTAATAGTCACACAGATGACCAGACTAGGACGAGATCTGAGAGGGCTATGTATATAAAGTATAGCTGTTGAGGTCAAATATATGTCTTACACATACAGAAACATCCATTCAATCATTTACCAGAAAGCCAGAGCAAAATGACACTTTCAAAGCTATCTACGCTCCTAGCCTCTGCCTCTCTTTTTGCAGGCCATGGCTATGTCTCCAGCATCGTAGCTGATGGCAAGAAGTAAGTCAATCTAAGAAACAAAGTCTCCATACCAATAACAACTAACCACATTATCAGCTACACTGGCTACATCGTTGACAAATACCCCTACATGGCAGACCCCCTGACAGTGTCGGCTGGGCAACAACGGCAACCGACCTCGGTTTTGAAGACGGCACCGAATACCAAGATCCGAATATAATCTGCCACCGAAACGGAGTCAACGCAGCTTTGAGCGCCACCGTCACCGCTGGCTCCAGTATTGATCTCCAATGGACGACCTGGCCATACTCACATCACGGTCTCCTGATAACTTACCTCGCCTCATGCAACGGTGACTGCAGCACAATCGATAAGACGACACTAAAGTTCTTCAAGATTGAAGAAGATGGTCTCATCGATGGCGCAACTCCTCCTGGTACATGGGCTACCGATGATCTTATTGCTGCTGGAGGCCAGTGGACTGTGAAGATCCCCCCTACTCTCGTTGCGAGTAACTATGTTATGCGCCATGAGATTATCGCTCTGCACTCTGCTGGCCAGTTGAATGGCGCTCAGAAATACCCACAGTGCTTCAATTTGGAAATCACTGGCGGTGGAAGTGATGTGCCGGATGGCACGTTTGGTGAGGAGTTGTATATCAATACTGATCCTGGGATCTTGTTCGATATTTATTCTACGCTTACTTCGTATATTATCCCGGGACCGGCTTTGTATGCCTGACTCAGGGTGATAAATAAACATCAGGTGGAGGGTGTTTGGATGCTCATTCTATCTAGTGTTATTCAAATATCATGAAATGAATGAATGCTGTGTGATAACACAACTCCAAACTACCCAGAGTCCCTATAAAACATTGATAATTCGAATCTATTCTGTTCTCTCATAAGGCAAAGCGATAAACCCTCGCACATTCGCCCCCTCAAGCGCCGCATCAATACCACTTAGACTCAAATCCGTCTTGCGTAACTCAAACTCCCCAAAGAAATTCGGCTCAGCAGAAACCCTCTCAAAGCCAAGTCCCTGAAACAAAGCCAAACTTCTCGAATTCGTCTGTCCAATCTTGACATTGAGATACTCAAACGTTAACCCCTTCGATGACCCCGGTGTCTCAACACCAGTCCCTAACTTCCGCACAGTCTCAACATCAACATCACCACCACCAACAAACTCATCCAGAATAGCACCCTGGTTCTGAATAATATACCGCATAAACATGAGTAATGCAGCGCGCCCAAACCCGCATCGCTGGTTGACTTTCTCAGCGATCATGAGCTCGAGCTCGCCGATTATCCGCGGCGGGCTGTTGCCCTCCTCGCCGTCGTCGATGCGCAGAAATAGGTTGATATCGCCGACCATAGTAGCCGGCGAATCACTTTCAGTTTGTAGCTTTGTCTGGCTAGGGACATCGTCTTCAATGCCTGTTGTGATTGCCCGACAGACGATAAAGGTTAGTTTGTCGGCGTCTTGGCGCCAGCTGCGTTGCATCGAGTATTCTTCTTCCAGAGTTAGGGGCTCCGAGGCTGTCGCTTCTTGGATTTCCTTGGGGTTTGTGAGAAAGGTGGTCGGTCATAGCTAGGATCTTATTGATCTTGTTTGCTTACCGGGTCTTTCATCCATTCGTGGTATTGGGGTACATGCCATGATGAGTACGGGACTAGAAGGGCTTTTGAGGAGCAGAGAGCTATTCCGCAGAAGTCAGAATCAGCTTCTTCTATTTGTATTATAGTCTCGATCTGCAAAATCTCCGGGGAAAGTATATATCCGGGTATGGACATAGAGCAGCGTACCGATGTTGGCATTGAGTAGCATTGTGGTGGATGATGAGGATATAATCCTTTGAGTATTAATAATTCAGAATGACTCAATTTGTATGAACTCTTGCGGAAAAAGTCGTTGTCTATCAATATCTCGATGGATATAAAGCGGAGGAAGTTAGTGGGATGGATTTCTTTCCAAATGTGGGTCTTGGCGCGTAGAGCCACTCGGGTTGTATACGACAGGCTTATATAAATGTATCAGGCGTGTAGGGTTTGAGAATGTAATTATTTCATTAGTACCATTGATTGGTATCTCTATCTGTTTATTTTTGTTCTTCCTGACCGTTGAAAACTCCAAACCGGACCACCTCGACCTCTAGCGTTTCGGTATCAACCAGAATTAACTCCCCAGTTTCGCTAAATTTGGGAAGTGCCAACAGCCGAACACGGGCTGTATCAGAGGAATCAGCGGCACCCGTCATTTCAGTGTCGCCATCCAGGCGGGGAGGGACGCCACCCTCAATCGTGGTAGTCTTGAACTGTGGTTGATTGCCAGCGAAAAAAATATGAGGACAGGACTCGATGACATATGGCTCCTCGGATTGGTATGGATATGACCCTAAACGAGAATGTTAGCATAAATTTCTTTGAAAGATTGAAGTGTCCAAGCATACAAATTGTGTCCGGCGCAGTGGGAACACCGCAGCGCCAACGAAGCATAGCTTCCATGATTCGCATCCGAGCATTCGAATCTGTCTCCTTTTCCGGGCTGCTATCACCGCCCTCAATAGGGATATACCGCAGAACATCGTCAACATTCTGACCGCTGCATCCCCATACTCGCCAGCCTTCCACGTCGCCGTCCCATGGGTTCGTGACACTGTCGAACCAGCTCACCTCAGGCTTTTCATCTCCTCTGACAGGAGGTGCAGAATATTCTCTTGCCTGAGGGAACATAGTACGATGGATCCCCTGCTGAGGGAGAGAGAAGTTCGCAGGATCTTTTTCGCCCGACATGAGTGTGATAGGAATGCTGGGCAAGATCTCTGCTAGGAAGTTATCGAGTTCTGTGATAGGCGCGGCATTGTATGCAGAGCAGTCATAGCCATACTTTCTTGGCTGGGCTTCCTCTGCCTCAGCATCGCCGAAGCTTGTCACCGTCAAATCTTCAATTATGTTGGCTCCGATTGAATTACCTGCGATGATCAAGCGGGAGATTTTAGATGAGCCCAAGGAAGGACTGTTTTCGGCGTTTCCCGAGAATCCCGTGTAGCCCAGAAGATAATCCGTCAATAGCTCCAAAGCAAGCGTGTCGCTTGATGTTCCTGTGATTTCCAGGCCACTAACGAAGGCGATTTTGCCGTGTTCCTTTCCAGCAAGTGGAGCATTGCCCCCCCATCGTTGTAGCTGCGGAGCCAAATCCGGAAGCTTGATATCAATAACCTCAAAATCTCCATCCGCATTTTCAGTGCCCAAAGCCGCAATAATCGCACCTGTCGCTAGCTGTGTAGACTGCAGGAATTTTCCAGTGAGCCGTAAGCGGCCAGACTCATCTTCCATCATAATTTGGGTCAAAGAGGGGTCAGAAGGGTCGGTGTAGGTGAGGCGGGGAGGGGGCGCAGAAGTGAAGTTCTATGGATTGTCAGTGGAAGAAGCAGTAGCAAGGTTAGGGAACGAACCTCCTGGTTGAGATCATCCAAAATATTCGGCTTCATTGGCAAATGCATATATACGGTGCCGGCCACCCAGCACAGCTCGCCTTGTCGGACATCGAGGACTCGGTCGACACGTCGCACCTTCTCTCCAGCGATCTAATTCGCAAGCAGGTGTTAGAAAATTTCATAGCCGAGAGCGCAAAATATTTCCTAGGACTTAGTGCTCTTACAATAAGGCCATCCCACGCATCCGTCGCGACTTGTTCGACGGTAGGTTTCAACTTTGCGAGTCGCAAAAAGTACATGTCGTCATATTGCTGCTGGTAGTGTCGTCCTGCGCCAGCTGGTAGGTGGAAGGTAAGACCAGGACCGTAATAGGAGTGGTTGCGGTAAATTGGCTTTTGTTCCTGTTCCTCCTTGCTATCGTAGATAGTTAGCGAAAGCTCCCCGATACGTAGCAGCTTGGATGCAGAGTGGATTAAGAGGTATTACCTGGGGGGACACAAGAAAGTGTAATCCTCGGCGTCCGGTACCATATTTTGCGGAATGATGTTGAGATCTTGTGTTTCGGGGATGGTTGAGGTGAATCGCGGTGCGAAGAGGTGTGTTTGACGCGCTCACGCGTCTGTTAGCGCGTTCAATTACATTACCGCTTTGGGATCTAGTGGCAACTGGTCAAAATAATTTTCATATGGGAATAATCGAACTGACTTCTAGAATCTGCTATTATTCTCATTAACCTGATTTATCTTTTCCTTTTCTAGTTTCCGCAAATTTCTTAGGCTCAAAAAAAACGAGAGATGTATTATGTACGTACTTCGTAGCGACAGATCACATTAAGCCGACCTCGGGGGTTCTCTGTGCTCGATAATACTGGAAAAGGGTGTGTACTTACTGAGATATACGATTCATAAAGCACCATATATTGTACCCAGGAGCACATATGGAGATCGGCTAACAGATGCCTCGGTCCGTGCATATCTTAGTGCTTCCCCGCATTAGCTATTCTTCATACTTGAACGTCGAACACATGTATCGGATAATACCTGGCACTCGAGACCTTCCCCTTTCTGTTTTAATGCTCACCTCTTGCCGCTTTTTGATCACTGAGTAAAACCGAGCACGTCCCTGAGTACCCTGACTTGATCCTATGGAATGCAAACCAGCAGACTATGCAAACAGTAAGCAAGCAAGCAAGCAAGCAAGCATGAAGCATGTGATAGCGATCCATGTGGATCGTGACATAACCCCCGCGAAAAAATCCATCTAGTCCCTAGATGATGCCGAAAGACTAGCAGTGGTCGTTGTGGTTGGCATTGGCATTCGAATAAGAAGTTGACGTGCTCGAACGCAGAGAGAAAGAATAACCGTCAAGTGGTTGAACAAACAAATTTGAAGAACTTTAGGTAGCGTATGTGGAAGATCAAAGGAAAGAAAGTCGGTTTCGAAGATTGTAAGTGGCGCGTAGATCAGTGTCCTGCTTATTCGAAAGGGAGACGATCTCGTTGAATCTTGTTGTAGTTGTCGTACACACGCGAAGTTGGTCAAGAATTGTATTGTTGTGTTATGTGTACGTTGGAATCATTGTGCGATATATCATGCTAGCGAGATCGAGAAGTTGACGTTGAATCTCGGAAGATGGTCTTGCACGAATGGCGGCATCCAGGTGTCGTACTTGGTTGACGAGTAAACTGACTCTGGATCTGGGAGAAGATCTTGGAATGTTTTTGGCGGTATGGAAATGAAGAAGGTAGGTTAGTGTTGAACTTGAACCTGTTGAATGTTGAATATTAGGTTGGTGTTGAACCTGAACCTATTGAATATTGAAAGGTTTGAATATCGACTAGAGCTGCTGATCTCGCTATAAAGGTAGACAAAAGTGTTAGCGAATTTAGCGCGAAGCTCTGGACGACGTTGTTGTTAGTGATCCATTTTGACGAAGATCGAGAAGAGGTAGCGAGGTTGAAAAATTGCACTGGAACCGTTGCCTGGAAGTTTCGAAAAAAAGAAGAAAAGGTAAATTTAGGATTCAAGAAAAGAAAAGAAAAATCGGGATTCTGGTAGAAGGGTCCGAACAGTCTCTCGCGCACGGCTTACTGTAACGTCCCGGGGCAGTCTGGTCTCTAGCTCGCAACCTGAGGTCTGCCGCATGACCGGACTGTTCAAAAGAGAAAAGATGCTTCGACTGAGAGCGTTCTCGCAATGAGACCTCTGTGCAGTGTACGAAAGCGTGCCAATACTCAAACTACAGTACTGCGTAGCTGAGGATCTTAGTCATCATGTGACGTGCCAGATCTTGCAAAGGAAG